GGGCCGCCCGGGAACCGAGCGCGGAGCCCGGGGCCCGGAGTCCAAGACAGGGGCGGGGAGGGCCCCGCGCGGGTGAGCAGGCCGGGCTTGGGGCCGCCTCGACCGTTTCGGGAAAGTCCGTCTGATTCTCCACGCATTCTTAAGGGCTTGGTCACTCGCTCCTGCCCCCTCCTAGGTTCAGCATAGTTTTCCAAGTGCGTGTACATCATTCATTCACAAAGACTGACACACAGGACGTGAGGCATGTGGACCAAGGGGCGAGCGTGCGGGCAGGCACAGGGGATTCGAGAGCCGGTGTCCTCAAAGGGTTTGACGAATATTGGACTCCAGCCGACAGTGAGTCAGGGACAGTGTTTCTGGAGGAGCCTGCGGTTTTTCAGAGCCCACCGAGGAATGGTTAAGAAATGCCCGGGCAGCGGTAGTGAACAGAAATCTTGCTTCCCTGCACTTGTTCAGCTCCTGTCCCAAGGCAGCCTACTGGAGACCCCGAAATACAGGCCCAAATATGCCCGCACTGGCAGGGGAGTCGAGATTAGGGACCCAAAACTAGAACCTAGCCATGGGTTTCCATAGGCTTCCAGTTGACCTACAGCAGTGGCTGAGTGGAAGGGGAAGCTGTAATTTCTGATTACTCTGTTTCTCTAATTATGTCACCATTGGCCAAAGTTTTTGTCTTTCACAGTCTCTCCTCTATTAGACAAAACTGACAGCCTTCCCACCACCAGAAAAGTGAGGCAGAGGCTCTGTGGTTTTGAATTTCTGGAATACATCATTGGCAGCCATGTCAGAATCACAATGTACAGCTCCTGATCCATTTGGGAACTCCCAACACTTGAGATCAAGCAATATGAACTCGAATAATTTATGACTTTCCACTAATACTTTGGTTATCATAAATGGAAAATGTCCTAATTTACAAATCAACCAGTACATACAGAAGTACATACATAGCTGTAGTCACACAATGAGATTTATCTCTGATTAACTAAAAGATTAAATATAAATCTTCCTGAATAACCTCAGAAAAAGTTATTTTTAATACTCTTTCCTGATTTCTAAGCATATGCTTAACTCCCACCACTTGACTGTAACTGTAACCTCTGCCTCTGGTAAGTTTTAACCCACCTGCTCACCTTCATCTAAGCCCAGTTTTGTCTCCCTGAAGCATTAGTATCTTGCAAGTTTCCCACAGCAAATCAAGGAAGAAGCCAGAAACAGAAAAATCTCTGGCACTGGTTCAACCTCCAGATTATGCCCCTCCTCAGTGACCAGAAAATATTCGTATGTGATAATCCCAGTTTTTGAAAGAACAAAGACTGTTGCAATCCAGCTGTGTTTTCAGAAGTTATGAGAAAACAATGCTGGCCTCCAGGTGACAAGAACAGACAATTCTGATCCTGGGAAAAGCCAAAGGAAACAGCTGATGAATGAATTGTACATTTACACATCCAAATGAGCTGCAAAGTTTCTTGAATCAATCCTGCCTTACTCACTAGGAATACATCAGTAGAACTGAGCAAATCAAGAGTTACTTTGGGAAATTTGTTGTGTTGACGTTTTAATAGAATACTTGGTATCTGTTAATCCAAGTGTGAGTACTTCTTTATTGTCCTTCCTCAGTCTGCTCCCCAACTTTCTTCCCCAGGCTAGCCTAAACACTGCTGCTAACATCCACCAAAATTAGATACTAAACGAGATCACCGTGATTAAACTGTAAACACTTTCCAGTCCAGCAATGAGGAAATTTATTCCTTCTAATTCTTCAACAATGACAACTCAGCTAGTCATTAATCCTTTTTCTAACACAGTCCTGAGGCACAGAAATGCAAAATGTTTGAATGACGTAATCAAGGAATGGGGTTGGGCAAAGCAGGGGGGTTGGAGAGATAGCTAGGGGCCCCTACAGACTGCCAGAAAAGTTACTTCTAGATTATACTAATTATGAATATTTATGCTATCAGAAGTTATGCATCTAACTTTTGATCTATTTGAGACTTCTCTTAGAATGAGGAGCACTGATAAGGCCAAGTTAAAACATTTTTACACATTTGGAATATTAATCATTCAATCAGGCCGGCAAGGGCACACTTGATTAATCAATGTTGATAAGTGAAATTTTTATTCTCTTTAGGACACAAGCAGATTTTCATTGCTCATAGAGACTATAAATCAGCAGTCCCCAGCCTTTTTGGCATCAGGGACTGGTTTTGTGGAAGACAACTTTTCCATGGATGCGAGGGGTATCATCAGGCATCAGATTCTCTAAGGAGCTGCAACCTAGATCCCTCTTATGTGCAGTTCACAATAGGGTTCAACCCCCTATGAGAATCTAATGTCGCTGCTGATCTGACAGTAGACAGAGGTTCTTAACAGATCATAGACTGGTATTGGTCCATGGCCCAGAGGTTGGGGACCACTGATTTAAATGAAATTTCTATCTTATCATCTCCTAAAAAATGATGTGTAGCCTAGTGTCGAAGACATTACAGATGCTTGATAAATATGTGTTGAATGATGACCAGTTTTCTAGTGACCATAGGCTTCTACTTTGCCACCAATTCTTCCTAAATCAGTGGTTGAGTTTGATAGGCTACGACTTCTGAAGATCAACTGAAAGATGTCAGCAACTCTGCCTCAAGACCCACCCTTTGTCCTTCACAGCAGAGCAGGACTTCTATCCTCAGCATTCCTATGTCCGCTCGGTTGCACATGTTCCTCAGTTTCCTTATCAGCAAAACAAGAGCAACTGAGCTTTGCCTTCCATCCTTTTGGGTAAGACAGCTCAAGACTGTAACTGATTTTTAAGGCACTCAGAAAAAAAAAAAATCAACCTAAGAAGTACCTCTTCACTTTTGCTTGCAATGCAGTAGCCTGTTCCTCCCGCACTTGGGAGAAAACAGAATTGTATTTTTAAGCATTCCTTAGACTTCAGCTTATTATATCCAACCTAGTGCTGAAACTCCTTAGACAAGCAACATCAAGTCAATAAGGATCAAGAAAAGTCTACAGGAGTTGGGGAACAGGAGTGTGGAGCTGGAAATGAATAATATCAAGAACAGTCACCTTCATACGGGAATTCCCTCAAGCCCATGGAGTATGTAAAAGACATAAGCTCTCTCCTTTATTTACACTCCTCCTTCAACTCCATCCCAACTTTAATAGAAAAGAAATATAAATATACACCTAATTTTAAACAATTATGGAAGACAAACTCTCCCTCTCCAGAAGAGTACTAGCATGTTATTTGTCTACTTATGAATCTTGAACTTCAACAAAACAAAGAAACTCTGAGTTTTGAGCTAAAACATGCTTTATTGAAGGTAGATACAAAAACATTCAGACCACTAACGGCTAATTCAGAACCAGTTTATGACTCACAGATGTTGATTTACTGGTATAAAAGTAAGATTTAGAGGGGAAAAAAGGCCTTCAATTAACAACAACCTGACAAAGCTGCATTTGTGGTCTCCGTTCTTCTCTGAGAAAAGGCAGCGGTCTCTGTCATACATAGAAACAGACTTCGAAAGCTTACCTCTAAAGCAAGTGGTTTCTACGTGATAAGTTTAGTCATTAAAAAGCACACTGGGGAAGAAAAATGCCTGGGGCTTCAACATCGACCATTATCAAGCAGCAATAAAGTGGAAAATCAGAGATAGAAAGGAAAATTAAAATAACTCTCTTAATTAAACTCGAATGCCAAAAGGCCTTAGGGGTCAGTTCAGGAACCTAAGTCAGGGAACTCAGATGGTGCTGTTGCTGACTGCAGGCTGGCTCTGTGACCCCACCAAAGCCACTTAACCTTTTTGTGTCACAACCTCTTCTCTGTTTCAGGGAATAAAATCACCCCCAGCTCTCCCTGCCATGTAATACAGACTCATTGGCTATTGTTTAGAAGGTACAATAAACAATGAGTGTAGGAGGGGTTGCAGTCAGGAGGAAAGAAGGGAGAGGGGGAGAAGGGGGACCTGGGGGCCTATTTGTCCTGGAAAGCTCTCTATAATAAAACAAAGATGGTTTTGGAATAAGACCCAAGTTCAGATTTTAACTCCACTACCCAACTAGCTGAATGATCATGAGTATGTCACTTAATCAGTCCTGAACTTCAGTTCCTTCATGTTTCAAGTAGGGATAATAACAGCACCCACTTTTTAAGGCTATTTGAAATAATAAATGAGATAATACATGCAATGCATTTAGCACAGTATCTCGGTCAGAATAAGTGTTCAATTCCTGTTATTAAGATCCAGTATAAGGTAGGATATGTGAAAAGTCATTTTCTGGCCATCCCTTTTCAGAATAGCTTGGGGCCTCAATTTACTTGAATTGTCTCCAGGGAGCAATAAGGACAGCTATCACCATATTTAATTTAAAAATCTCTTCAAGCCCCTTCCTCAGTTCTTGAATCAAGAACCTGATGCCCAGCATCAACCTCACTTGAGAAATCCGAGAACTATCTAACTGAAGGAGAAAACTGAAACTGAAGATTTGTATGTTTTAAGTCACAGAAAAGCTCTAGTTCAAATTCTAAAAGATCACATTTGTGGTGCCTCTTTGAAGACAAAACCTTAGGTCTTGGATTTGTCGCATTAGAGCTAGACAGGAGTCTATTAGTACTCTTCAAGTCCAGCCCTCTTTAGCAGAGAAGAAAGATGAGTTTGCATGAGAGGTAATCTTTCTGCCCAAGGCCACACAGCCTAAAACAGGCAGCATCAGCACTAGAACCAGATTCTTCAACTGCAGTGCTCTCACTGGCATCTTCCTACATTTATGACATCACTTTGGCAGGAGAAGTCACAGCCATTCAGCTCGCTCTGTTACCAGACACCCTTG